CCACTGATGCAATGCAAAGGTCAATCATGTTGTCCAGTGGTGTAATCCAATGTCAATCACAATGAACGACGCTCACCGAAAAAAAAGTCCGCCCCCCACCGACCTGACCGTTACTGTTGAACTCCCGCCGCAAAAGGACAGGCCCGGCCCAAACGTAAACAAATAGCTGTACAGGACTGCAGTGAATAGCCGAACAGGCTTCGGCTCAGTTCACTTCAGTTTGGTTATTCATTCGGCTTCCTTAGGCAGCTTAGTGGATAACCCCCTAGATCTTCATTCAAACTGCCTACAGATATAGGTGCTATAATGAAATAGCATCACAAGGAAAATTTGTCTTTTCAGTCATTTATTCAACCAAAATATCAATAGATGTAATGTGTAATGGTCTACTGTGGAAGAAATAAGTACACCCTTATATGGTTTTGCCCCCTTTAGGAGTAATTGACTTCTTGAAGGCATTTTGAATAACTGCACACCACTCTCTGACATCAACTTAGTAAAATTCCACTCGTCCATGCAAAATTCCCCCACAGAATTTCAATAGGACTTAAATCAGGGATTTCAAGATACCAATCAATCACCATCCATTTCTTCATCTTGACACATTCCTTGGTGGATTTGCTAGTGTGCTTCAGATTATTATTGCATTGAAACATCCATTTTTTTGGTTCAGCCTTAACATTCAGACAGTTGGCCTCACATTCTCATCAAGCACACTTTATATGACGCATCATTTCCAGTTGACTCAATGATTGTAAACTGCCCAAGCCCTGAAGCAGCAAAGCAAACCCAGGCCGTGACATTTCCACAGTTGGTATGAGGTTCTTCTGAAATGCTGTCTTCAGTTTGCACCAAACATGTCTACTGTTACTGTGGCCAAGCAACTTTAGCTTTTGGTCCGTCAGCCCATGCAGTAAAGTTCCAGAAGGCCTGGTCATTGCCTCTATGTTGAACAGCAAACTGAAGTTTTGCTGTACTGCTCTGCTTGGACAGTAAACACTTTTTCCCGTTCCAGCTCCCATGCAGCTTTAAATTGGTGCAATCTCTTTCTGATTAGGAATGCATGCACTTTGATTGCAACTGTTGCAATAGTTACCTGAGGACCTACAATGTCATTTTTGGGGTTCTCGGAGACTATTTTTAGCATCAGATGTCAGCTCGTGGTCAGAATTCACTGGGCTGACCAGTCCTGGACACATTAGCAGTCATTTGAAATCTTACCCACCCACCACTAAATGATTTTCCTTACAGTGAAATTATTATTTCAAATAATTCAGCAATCCTTTTAAATCAGTAGCCAGAGTCATAGGCATCCACGACCTTCTTTGTGAGGGCCTTGGGGAGCCCTTTTGATTTTTGTTTTTGATGATGACAGAACACAGGCCAATAGCATAGAAAAGACCAGACCCTGGGTTTAAATAAGACAGGTTCATACCTGCATATTCCCAAAGGAAGTCCTAACCATTGACACTTGGAGGGTTATTCACTATGGAGCCGTAGTTTCGGCTGATCCTTCAGCTCTTTTCGGCCGCCTCTGCCCTTCGATTCATTTGAACTGAAAGGCTGCTCTACGTGCAATCCACAATAGCCTGTACAGCAGCCGAAGGCAGCCATGCGGCGTTTAGCGGAGCCGAGGCATATGCTTCGGCTCGACTGAGCCAAAGTGACAGCCTAAGCGTCCGAAGCCGACCAATCTCCATTATTATTATACAGGATTAATATACATGCAAATGACAGCTGGGCGGAGCCAGCCGTGAACATGTTCGGCTGACCGAAGGCAGACGATGTACGGCTGAAAACATGCCAGAAGTGCATACTTGAACAGTGTTCGGCTCACTTCACTTCGGCAGCTTTGTGAATAACCCCCATAGTGGATGATTTACTACCGGCCAATTGTCTTTTTCCTTTGCAAGGGAATGTGAAAATTTGCTTTGCAAAGAATATCTGATCGCGTGCAAAGAAAATAGAAAAATAAATAAATAAAACACTGGGGGGAAGTTATCAAAACTGGAGCAGACAAAATCTAGAGCAGCTATGCATGGCAACCAATCAGCTTTTCTCTTCAGTCTGTTCATTTAAGATTTGAAAATGAAAGAGAGAAGCTGATTGGTTGCCGTGCACAGCTGCTCCAGATTTTGTCTGCTCCAGTTTTGATACATTTCCTTCACAGTATTTTTTTTTTGCATGTGATTGGATTATGGAAGTCAGCATTCACTACACTGCCTTGCAAAGTGAACAGCCTATTTGCCTGAAGTAAATCAAGCACCTAATCTGGGACACCTTCTAGTTTCATGGATTTGAAGTGGTGGTAAATGTTGGGGTGCATTTATTTTTTTTCCCATGTGAAAAATGAGAATGTTTGTCCATTTACATCATTAGAGTGAGTAAACCATGTCAGTTTTGTGTGTCGTATGTCCGAGTGTATCACCTGTATCTGTAGAACTAATGTTTGCCTGTTACAAAATATTGATACAGTCAACAATGTCCATGAGGTGCACTTACTTTTTCACATGACTGTATTTACTTGTGTGCTGCCCAGTTTATCATATGGTATCCCAGGCTGGAGATTACCCACAAATGTTCCAATGTCTCAGCACTGTTCTTGTCTGGGTTAGCTTCACAATTAGCAGTGCACCGAAGGATGTAAAAAAGATGCTTTTCGGTACTGATAATGTCTTGATCACCATACACAAAAACACCCAGAAAAAAAATGAAGAACTAAATCAGACTTAGCAGTTTGATAAAATTAGAGTTCTTTATTTCCTTTTGGCTTTGTTCCTTTTCTCCTCCTTTAATTTCTTTTTGGACACAGTTGGCATCTTTGACTTAGAGTACAGGTGGTATCCAATCAATGCTAAGAGTGTGGGCACAAGGGCAATGCAGAGCATGGGGAGGACATCGTCCACCAGTGTCTGCCACTGTGTGGGCTTGGTTAGTGATATTACTTCAGTCTCAAACTGCAGCACAGCGTCACCTGCAGGTAAAGAGTTAAAAGCTGGTTACTAAGATATACAAAAGTATAGACGTAAAACATCTTGTTTAGCCAGTTTAGTGTTGTGTGTTTATTCAGGGCATTGTTAAAGTCATTTTAATAATACATATTGTAGCAGGTCATCATGTAGAGAGCAAGGAGAGGTCCTGTCCGGGGTTTATGTGTCACCCAGATTCCTCTCTTACACCTTCCGGAACCTATAGTAGGCCCCAGGTTTTACGCTTTGCCTCAGTGGCAATTTAGTGCAGGTGAGGCAAACAGACAGAGCTCTGGAGCCTGGGGAGCAGTCAGTTTCTATCTCCTGGAGCACAAGGTTGGTCAGTGTGTTTTGCTGAAGCCTGACAAACAATAGGTATGTACAGGTTGGTAGTCAGGACTATCGTATGTTTAGTTAGTGCCGGGACACGGCTAGGATTTTGTTTTTGAAGTATTTACTTTCTTTGAGCACTGTACATAGCCTGTGTGTTGCACCAATAAATGTAACACTGTTTGAAGATAAGTCACTGGTCTGGTCTCTAAACCTTGCAAGATTGCTCACCCCAGGGAGCAATTGCACCCGCTACCTATTCCCCAGCTCACAATATATATCAACAGGGAAATAGCAGTAGGGATTTTGCTTATTCAACCATCTGAAACAATCAGAACAGGAAAGCTTCTGAAATATTTAGCATGTTTATCATTCAGACCGAATATCATGCTTGGCTCCGTTTGCAATTCTTGCACGTTGCAGATAGAGCCCACTCATTTTGAACTGGCCCCCTATCAAGCCTCAGGGTATGAGGAAAAACAGACCTGCACTACTTTTGGGCAACACAGTGCACGGAACATTGACATCTAAAGTAGTTCTTTGTTGTATATGGGAAAATCAATCTAAGGTGTTTTGATTTTCCTGAAAGCGTGGCCTAGAACTCTCAAGACAAGAATTTCCAATATATTTTATAATGGCTTTTATAGAATGTTCACAAGGTAAACTCGTTTCTCCTCGCTCAGTGAGATATTACAAACATTCTTTAGCGGTGAATTGGGACTGCTTTCCTTAAGCTTGCAGGTCATATCTTTTTTTCTATATACTGAAGCGCTATGACTTTAGTACTACTAATACTACTATATGTAGTACATTATGCAGCATCTTGCTCCTCCACAAAGTGTAAGTAAAAACACAACTCTTGGCAACATGTCAAATCATTCAGCGTACTACCCCTCTCCACTTCCACCCACTTTTCTCTCTCCACCTTTTGGATTTGTGATGACATCCTAATACCATTTATTTTATTAAACCCGTGCTTTAGTTCACTGTTTCACAGAATTTCGAGTAAGTTCCTTTTGGCTCCACCATAACCCTGCTGATTATACGGTCTCATTGCTTCTCCAGCCAAAAGTAATGGTTTCTTCATCCTGTACTGGCAAGGGCTAACAATACTGAAACATAACAAAAGTTTTAAAAAATGACTATATTTAACACTGTTCAAAAAGCTCCATGGACTCACCGCTACGTCCCAACCTCGAGGTCACACTCTGGGTGCAGGCTGTACTGTACTGTGCTTCTCACTTGCCCAAATCAATCTCCAAAAAATCAGCAGCACAGTCGCCAGGGCAAGTGCAAAATCCAAGCCGATTCCAAAAAACAAATCCAAAAGAATGATAAACAGCATGTACATCACCATAAGTATCTCCCACACCATGCCAACGCCTCTCACACGTTTCACCACCTGGGCTTACTCATAGAGGTCTATGTTTATGCCTAGGCGTGATTGGCATGGTGTGGTTTGGGAGATACTTATGGTGATGTACATGCTGTTTATCATTCTTTTCGATGTGTTTTTTGGAATCTGCTTGGATTTTTTAAAATACATTTTGGATTACACTTACCCTGGTTGCTGTGCGGCTTTGACACTGATAGTAGGAGCTGGAACCCACAAAGGTGTCAGGAACACTCAAAACTTAGGTGTACAAGAACAAGAATTATGGCAGGAAGATCAAACCAATGGAAGACTATTCCAAGACACAAGCCAGGGGCTCACTTAGGCTACACCTATAATTCAAATATCAACTGGTATCAACTCTATTCTCTTTCAAAAAATCAATGGGAAGAAACGGGAAAGCTACCTAAGACATTACCTATTTTATTAATATGCATAGCACTGGCACTCTCCACAGTGCTATGCATCATGCCCTGCCTCCCGAAGAAGCTTACAGTGTACTGACCCTGTCATACAGATAGTAAAGTTGGTTTGGGTGGAAGGCACTTAACCTTCCACTGCATTTTTAGATCAAGCCTAAAAACAGAAGTACCTGTAGGACCCTCCCCCCGTAACACAAGGAAAACATACAACATCTGTAGAAATGGTGTAGTATCATTTGTAATCTTGTAGTAGGCAAACCAGAACCACAGCACTGCAAGCCTAGATTGCTAATCACTTGGCTACCAGTTTGCTCAGTCTACAGGAAATGTTTCTCAGTAGATACGCACTGAAAATACACTTAAAGGAGAAAATATAATGGTTTTGGGTCAATTTTATTTCCGTTTTTTCAAAAACATGTGTCTTAGGTTTTTACATTATATATGCAATCTTTCTCTTACAAATAAGCAAGTAATACAAAACAAAGGAGTCTCAAAAAAGAGAAAAAGAGTTCTGCAGCAGCTCCCACTGCCTAAATAACACATGCTAAGCTCTCTGAATGGCTCATTCCAGTTCTGTCAACAACTGACTTGCTTCAGCAAAGGCGAGACCTAAAACAGCTAGCTATGTGCAAAGAAGACTCATCGCCATCTGCTGGCTGGATAGAAAACTGCAGAATATGAATGCGTAGTATTTCAAATGAACCTGACTGAAGAAGAAACGTTTAGTCCTGATAATAGATAAATGTGCACAAAGTCACTATACATTCTCTTCACGTCGATGCTGCAATTTGCTTCAATAATCATTTTAGTGGAAAGCTTACTGGTTCCTTTGCCCTGTCAGTATAGATTTACAGGTTCTATTGTATTTCATATACAAAAGGTACAGGGTGTGCTTGGCTTCAGCTAGCAAATAAAGAAGATCCATAGTTGTTTTGTATCATGTTGTCCAGCTCAATATGGATTGCACTTTGCAGACCTTAAAATCCATGTCCTAATGCAGAGAATTAGTGGGAAATGTTTCATTACAACACATGTGCATTTGGTCAACTGAGATTTTTTTTAATGTTGAATAAAGACTTTAATTACTTCTTGAGAATTGTATTCAGTGGGAAATGATCTGCACCCTGCAATCTATAGAAAAGGATTAGAAAGGATCAGGATTTACCTGGTATAGAAGGGGGGTATCCTCTTCTTCCATACGCCAAACCAGGTGGGATAACCACTTTGCGCTTTTCCCTGATGAGAAAATAAACACAGGATTATCAAGATGGCAAATCAATCAGCCTGAAAAACCCAGTGTGGCAGCAATCTATCCTGCTGTGGTATTGATATAAAATGAGGACAATTACAGCGCTAACTGTGGAGGAAAATGTATCCCGCTACACAACGCAGCTAAAGATGGAATAGTAGATTGTCATAATAGGGTCTGTCCCCCAGGAGCTGTCAGCAGGTGGTCATATGTGTTTAATTTGTGCAGTTCGATCTTTTCCCTTACGCAGCAGTTATCTACTACAGAAAAAGGAAAATATGAACAATATTTAGGGTCTGCAATCTCTCGTAGCTATTTAGTCATTTGATTCACTGATGTGCTCTGAAACTATTTACATGAACACAGTAATATTTACCTTGTCCCCTTTTTCTGAAGGTGCTTAGAAAGGAATAGACCTACAACACATATGGGACAACTTGGATGGAAGCCAGTCTACAGTAAATGTTTTCATCAACATTCTAAGTAGATATGCACTGAAAATACACTTAAAGTAAAGAATATAATGGTGTTGGGTCAATTATATTTCCGTTTTTTCAAAAAAGTGGGCCTTCCAGTAACTTCAAAGTCTACATGAATAAATTCCTAACAAGGCAGAATTTATAACAGTATAATTTTAAGAAAGGTCTCCTTTTTATCATTAAAGGAGAACTATGGGGTCGGTGCTTTTCCCCATAGTTCTCCTAAGGGTCATGGGAGGACACAAACTAGCGTCCTCCCGTCACCCAAAGCTCAGTATATAGCAAGCTACAGCTCGTGGTATACTGAGACGCCGCAGCCGGGACAGATCCCGACATTACTGTCTGGATCCACACAGCTGCGCGAGTGACAGCTGGCTCTGCCTATCTAGAGACAGAGCCAGCTGTACCTGCCCCTCCCCCGTTCCTCCATTCTTCAGAACTGGAGGATCGGACAAGGGAGGGGGGGAATCCCTGCAGGGAGCTTTGAGTGACAGTCACCGCTCTCTGCAGGGACAGGATCGAGAAGTGAGCGAGCGACGGTATGTGTTCGCTCACTTCCCGATCTATTGAGCCGACGTGTGACAGTTTTATTGTCACATGTCGGCTCGAACTATGAGGCTGAGTGATTTTCACTCACCTCATAGTTCTCCTTTAAAGCAGTCCTTGAGCTCCTGGCAGGTGACTTGTTTAGTTGCAGAAGATACAGTATCATTAGTCAGCTGCAGGTAGGACTAAGAATTTCTCCTCTCACTAGTGACTCCAATATTGCTTTATGGGAAGTTGAGGATGTAGCAGGGGCTGATCTTTTCAGACATTTATTATGTATTACTGGTATTTATATTGCACCAACAATGTACGCAGTGCTTTACATGTGCACATTCACATCAGTCCCTGCCATCAAGGAGTTATCAATCTAAGGTACCTATCTCACATACATGCAGGGCCAATTTAGAGAGGAGCCAATTAACCTTTCAGCATGTCTTTGGAGTGTGAGAGGAAACTTGAGTACCCGGAGGAAACCCACACAAGCACAGGGAGAACATGCAAACTCCTTGCAGATAGTGTCCTGACTGGGATTTGAAACCGGGACCCCCTGTACTGCAAGGCAAACGTCAAATCCAGTGTTATTAGCATTGTCTATCCATTCATGTGCATTAGGAGACAGTAGTGGGTTTTGGACAGAAAGGGGCCCATTCCTGGGAGTCCAGCAGTAGCTCGAGCTACTATGCTGGCAGTTCTGCCACTACTAGAATGGTAATGTGCAAACAATCAACTATCGGGCTAATCACATTAAATTCTTTTTTTTTTTTTCATTGTTCACTTGCTTTCTTTTATACATATACAATAGCTGTAGGAAAGTAGCTTCTGCTGCACAAAAAATATCTATCCATATTCTATTACTTTCATTTAAATATGTTAAAACAGAATTATACTGGGCAGCACAGCGGCGTATTGGTTAGCGCTTCTGCCTTGCAGCACTGGGGGTCCCAGTAGTATTGCAAAAATCCTCACCGCTCCAATTCTGCAGCCCAGCTCAGGCTGTATTCCCCCCGCAGGTGCAGGTTGTAAAGTGTATGCTCACATGCACAAACGGGAACCAGAGAATGACTGCACTCCGCAAGATACAAGCGATGAATCCTGTGTTTATTGATGCAAAATCTCTTTGGTCTGGGTGATGGTTGCTGCGATGTACACTTGATTGTGCATCAATAAACACAGAATTTGTCGCTTGTATCTTGTGAACTGGGAGTTCCTGGTTTGAATCCTGGCCAGGTCACTATCTGCATGGAGTTTGCATGTTCTCCCTGTGCTTGTGTGGGTTTCCTCCGGGTACTCCTCCCACACTCCAAAGACATGCTAGTAGGTTAATTGGCTCTGGTCTAAATCGTCCCTTTATGTATGTGTGTGAGATAGGCGCCCTAGATTGTAAACTCCTTGAGGGCAGGGACTGATGTGAATGTAAAGTATGTAAATCACTGCGTAAATTGTCCACACTATATAAATACCTATAATAATAATAATAATAATAATACTCAAATAACTTTTATGTTAACATCTTGGCGGGATGGAAAAAGAGTAACGGCAGTGCTGAAATAGTTACATTACCCTGATAAATCTCTGCACCCAGGGCCGGCCTTAGGGGTGTGCGAGCAGTGCGGCCGCACAGGGCGCCATGGCAACAAGGGCGCCGTGCGGCCGACACAGCTCGTCCTGGGGGCGGCTTCATCACTGAGGGGCGCTGTAAAGCTTTCTCGCACAGGGCGCCTAAAGGCCTAAGGCCGGCCCTGTCTGCACCTTCTGTTATTGGTTGTGTAACCAAAGTCTAGGCCCTTGACCTCATGATCTCTGCTTAAAGTGACTGTCACTGAAACAACCACCAACCTAATCTGATTGAGCAAAGTTCTGACGCGTCAAAAGTTGCCCACCCTCTCCCACACATTCCTATGAGTCAGTAAGACAGCCCATTATAGTGATGGGCTAATAGGAATGTATGAAGAGGAGGGTGCATGAGGAAGCAGGCAATCTCTGACACTGCCAGGAAGTGTAGGAGCTTTGCCCATTCAGAATGGCATATCTAGAGGGAGTACTGAAAGTTCCTGCAGGTATGGAACCAGAGGTCTCTGCACTTTAGACCTGGCAGAAAGTTTGTTTTCTTTTTAAAATGGCAGATTCACTTGAAGAGAAGAGTTAGCCAGTTTTGATCCTCTCCCTTAACAGACATCACACAAGTAAATCCTAGGCTTTTGACTATGATCAGCAATCGAGTAAGTCTGAAACAGTATTTCAGCACTCATTTTACCTTTTATTGATCCAGCAAAGCCAAGCCATTAACATGGCTTTGGGGCATCAGGGCTACTGAAGATTAAATGTGGCCTGATATGCAGTGCCAAGAGTGGTTCAGGTATGTATGAGGGCGATTTAACACCTGGACTTTTCAGTGCTGTCCACCAGACTGTTCCCAAAACTAAAGGAACACTTGAAGGGCCGGCGTTTCATCTGTGAGGAAGACGTGAAGTCTGCAGTGAGGAAATGGTTTCAAGAACAAAACACCGATTTTTTTTTTTTTTTTAAGGACGGATTTCAAACACTAGTGCAGAATTGGCGGAAGGGTATTGGAGCGTGTGGTGATTTTGTAGAAAAATTATGCAGCTTTGAAAATAAATTATATAGGTGTATTTGTTTAATTTTATTTAAATATCTTTTCCTGTTCGTTTTCTATTTAAAGGAGAACTATGGGGTTAGGGCTTTTTCCCATAGTTCTCCTTAGGGTTACGGGAGGACACAAACTAGCGTCCTTCCGTCACCCTAAGCTCAGTATACCGCAAGCGGTATACTGAGACGCCGCAGCTGAAGCGGATCCCGACAATTATGTCTGGATCCGCCCAGCTGCATGAGTGACAGCTGGCTCTGCCTATCTAGAGGCAGAGCCAGCTGTATCAGCCCCCTCCACCGTCCGTTCCGCCAGTCAGCGCTGGAGGATCGGACAGGGGAGAATCCAGCCCCTTCCCTGTCACGGCAGAGAGCCGTGACAGGATCGAGAAGTGAGCGAATGCCGGTATGTGTTCGCTCACTTCCCGATCTACTGAGCCGACCTGTGACAGTGTCATTGTCACAGGTCGGCTAGAACTATGAGGTGAGTGAAAAGCACTCACCTCATAGTTCTCCGTTAAGTGGAGGCAAAATGTATCCGCCCACCCTTGTATAAGTCACTTCAGGTTTGCTTTAAATGAAAGCCTGTATTGTGAGGAATACAAAGGTTGCCATTGCTGACCTCTCCTTCTGAAAACACTAGTTGCCTAGCTGTCATGCCGATCCATTGACTCCATTACTTTCTGAGTCACTGACTCAGAACAAGTATGCAGATCAGGCATCCCAACTATACCTGCTCTATGCATGTTCAAGCTACCGTAGTAACTCAGCATTGAAACTACAAACATTCAGACAACCTTCATTTTTAAAATAAGGTCAGCAAAGGCACCCTGTGTGTTTTATCTCATGTTTCTTTTCATTCTCTTATCTACTATGTTCCCTATTATTGTTTCCAGTTGATTGTTAAATACTGATAAATATACACAGGGTCATTTCCAGGTATTCTCAGAACAACTCCTTTATGTTGAACATGTAGAATGAAATGTAACCACTAAACACAGAAAGCTTATCGAAGTGCTTATATAGGATTTCTGTATAAAAGACAATCGGTGACCCGACCATAACAGGATTCAATCATATCAGATCCAGAACAAAGAACATCCCTTCATTGCAGTTTCATTCCAAAATACATTACATAAGTCTATTTCTTGCCACTTGTCTGGCTCTCTGAAGACTCTATGGCATGGCTTAGGAGTTCATAGTATCCTGTAGAAATGACTGGACCTTATAAACAGATTTTAAGATGATGCTAGAGTTATAGAGCAGTGACCTTTGAGATTGTCCAGGTCTGTCTAAGTGAATCAATCATTTGGGAAGCACAGAAATGGCCTGACTGAAGAGAACAAGGCCTGGTGATT